TTTAAATTAAATTTATTTTTATTATTTTATTATTTATAAATTATTGTTTTTGTTATTATTTATTAACAATAATAATAAATTTCAATTTTATTTCAACGTTCTCTTCCATGTTCAAAATGCTGCATTCAGAAGAGAATTAAGTAAAGTAGGGACAACAGTCTAATTCCAGAAAAAAAATGCAGTTAAGGCCTTGCACTCCCCCCACAGGTGAGACCTCACTTCATCTGATGAATATTACTGGTATGATACTTTTAAATCAGGAGAGAGTTCATAGTTTTCCCAAAGTACTGCACGTCTTTACTCGTATATAAAATTCTCAGCATCTATCTCCTGATGGGAGGAAATTATTTTAGAAAATGAAAACAAAGCCACTTGGCAGTAACAGAAGCAATCATGTCTCCAGGAGGAATCGAAGCTCATGTAAGGTAAAGCTTTGGGCTCAGATCTGAAACCCACAGGATGGGCTCTCAGAAGGAGCAGGTAGACGTGCACTGAGCCACAGGCAGCTGCTAGGGAGGTGAGAGACTCTGGACCGGTCGGAATCCTCAGGAGCCTTCAGGTGCCAAAGGTAAAAGACAAGATCAAAACAAGCTTAGTAACTGCCGTGTGGGTCCAGTTGGAGTCGTGATAAAAACTAATAACGTCAAAGAAAAATTTGGTGGATTTGAGCCGATAAAATTGTTTGAATTTCTGTATGTTCACACACACATGCACACACACACACACACACACACACACACACACACACATACACACACCAAAACACGTTCTAGGCATAGGATTATTGTTCTTAGTTGTTATCCATCAACTTAAGAGAAGCTCTAACGTTCCAGGTAAAAAATATTACCAACAATTCAAACAGTAAACACGAATGACTAAAAACATGAAAAAATGTTAACCTTTCTGCTGATTAAAAAGTGCAAAATAGGGGAGCCTGGGTGGCTCAGTCGGTTAAGCGTCCGACTTCGGCTCAGGTCATGATCTCACGGTCTGTGAGTTCCAGCCCCGCGTCGGGCTCTGGGCTGACAGCTCAGAGCCTGGAGCCTGCTTCGGATTCTGTGTCTCCCTCTCTCTCTGCCCCTCCCCCGTTCATGCTCTGTCTCTCTCTGTCTCAAAAATAAATAAACATTAAAAAAAAAATTTAAAAAAAAAGTGCAAAATAAAACAATGCAATTTTTTCTATTGAATCAGCAAAGTTTATAAATGACTCTATTACATATTAAATTACTCACTCCCATTGTTCTTTATTTCCTTACTGATTTTTCTTACTTTTCTCTATGGTGCTTTATCGTCCGGCACATTATGTATTTACTGGTTAACGCCTTCCCCCACTAGAATTTCAGCCCCATGAAGAACTGGAAATAACACTGAAATGCTGACATGGTCATCACTGACGTGATGGAATGAGCTCTAAGATATGTTAAGGAACACCAGCAAGGGGCAGAGCATGATATAAAGTGCCTCGAGTTTGTTTGTTTTGTTTTTGTTTTACTTTTCTACAGTGTCAAACTTTCTACTGTGAGTCTATTATTTTCACGGTCAGAAAAAAAAATGCCTTAAACATTTAGCATATGCACACATGGACTTCCATATGCAGGTGCCGTACCTTAGCCTTGCTGTTCCAAACATGTGGTACGTAAACCAGCCACGCTGGCATCGGCTGGGAGTTTGCTGGAAATGCAGATTCTCAGGCTTGCCCCAGACCTGCTGCTATGGGTTGACTTGTGCACCCCCTTAAAGTTCACATGTTGTTTAAGTCCTACTCCCAGTACTTCAAAAGGTGACCTTCTGGAAACAGGGGCACTGCCAATCTAATCAGTGGAGACGAGGCCATTTGGGTGGGCCTAATCCAGTATGTTGGTGTCTTCATAAAAGGGGGAAACGTGAACACAGACGTGCACACAGGGAGAACGCTGCGTGAAGATGAGAGCAGAAGCTGGGGTGCTGCTTCTACAAATCAAGGAACAACCGAGATTACCAGCGAAGCATGAGAAGCCAGGGAGAGGCATGTGCCAGGTTTTCCTTCACAGTCCCCAGAAGGAAGCAACAGCCCTCCAACACCTTGATCTCAGGCTTCTTGTCTCCAGGAGGCTGAGACAGCAAATTTCTAAGGCGCTCAGTGTGTGGTTCTTTGTCCCAGCAGTCCTAACAAACTAATATGTTTACTGAACATAATCTGTAGTTAGACAATTTCTCCAGGTAAGCATTTGCATATTAAAGTGTGAGAAACACTGCTGAGGGCAAACATCCTCACCTTGACTCTGTCTTATAAAACAGGGGTGAGGGGGGTGCCTGGGAGGCTCAGTCGGTTGAGCATCTGACTTCAGCTCAGGTCATGGTATCACAGTTCATGGATTTGAGCCCTGAGTTGAGCTCTGTACTGACATCTCAGAGCCTGCTTGAGATTCTCTGTCTCCCTCTCTCTCTGTCCCCCTCCCCCCACTCACACACGCATTCTCTCCTCTCTCTCTCTCTGTCTCTCTCAAAAATAAATATTGAAAAAAAGAAAATAAAATGTTTAAAAAAAATGAGAGTGGGGGGAAGGAAAGAAGGAGAGAAAGAGAAAGGAAGGGAGAAAGGAGGAAAGCCAAAAGACCCTAATAGCACAAAAGAGACTAGATTCATCACTTAGAATGGTGTTCTTGGAGAAAAATTAACTTTTGCTGTGGACTATAAACCTTGCTATTATGTTTGCTGAGCTACCTGTTAAAGATTGATTATTAGTTTTATATTAATTTGGTGCCTGAAGCCCAACTTTTAGGGGGAAGTGGGGACATAAGTTACATGGTCACTTCAAATAAAGTCACCCTCCTGAGCCCTTTCTGGTGAAAGGATTTCTGAATTAGGTCCATGTTGGCAACTGAGGGGCCCCTGGGTGGCTCAGTCGGTTAAGCATCTGCCTTCAGCTCAGGTCATGATCTCACGGTTCGTGAGTTCGAGTCCCTCATCAGGCTCTGTGCTGACAGCTCAGAGCCTGAGCCAGCAGATCTTCTTGTCTCCTCTCTGCCCCTCCCCACTCACACTCTGTCTCTCTCTGCCTCTCAAAAATAAAGAAACGTAATAAAAAAATTAAAAAAAAAAAAGGTAAAGGAAAGGGGTGCCTGGTATGTCTAGTCATAGCTTCCAACCAGTCAGACTATGATCTCACAGTTTTCAGTGAGTTCGAGTTTCATCGGGGCTCGTGCTGATAGCCCAGAGCCTGAGCCATCCAGATTCTGTGTCTCCCTCTCTCTGCCCCTCCCGCACTTATACTTTGTCTCTCTCTCTCTCTCTCAAAAATAAATAAAACATTAAAAATTATTTAAAAAACATGTTGGCAATTGAAATTCAAGTAAAAATTTCTTCCAAAGTATGCATACATGTTTTTAATGAGGAGAAATAAACATATTTTAACACCTCTCAAAACTATCTTTTCTATCTGAATTATGTTGTCATTTCTGCCATGGCCTAAATGATCAGCAGATAGGGAGGGCTGGTTTTAGCTCTGCTATGAAATGATCTGACCTGGTGTTGATGTTAGTGGAAAAGACCAGGAATGGCCCAGGTTAGAATACAGCTGGGAGATGACCTTCATAACCTTCCTGGTGTGTCCCTTCCCTGGTTTTCCCCTGATATTAAACATTTCTGACTGAAGTTCTATTCTGTGGGAAAATATTGCCTAAAAGAGCCTGGAGGTGTTAAAATTAAGTTCAGTACTTAAAAAAATTACAGTTAACAATGTTACAATTCATGGATTGCATATCATGAAAGGCTATTGTGAATGACTATAAAGGATTTATCATATCATCTTTATACGCTTTAAACATTTTTTTTTTAGTTTTTCGAATTGATAACTCTTCACAGGACTCCAAATTCAAAAGGTAAAAAGAATATGCAAGGAAAAGCCCCCCTCAAATTCTGACTTCCGGTCATCCAGGAAGCAACTGATATCACCAATCTCTTACGTGTTAACATTTGTTTTCTTTTTTTAATAACTAAAACAAATGTTTTAGCTTATTTTTTGAGAGAGAGAGAGCAAGGAAGGAGCAGAGAGTGAGGGAGACAGAGAATCCCAAGCAGGCTCCACACTGTCAGCACAGAGCATGACTCGGAACTTGAACCCAAGAAACCTGAGATCATGTCCTGAGGCAAAATCCAACGCTTAACCAACTGAGCCATGAAGGTGCCCCTGTTTCTTTGTTTCTTTTTTTAAATGTTTATTTATTTTGAGAGAGAGAGAGAGAGAGAGAGAGAGTCTCAGGCGCCCCTGACACTACCAGTTTCTTGATCTTGTACAGAGCAAGGATTAGGGGACTACATGGAAGAAATGGACCCCTCACTGGTTCACCTGGTCACTCCACCATGTCACTGCCACGTGAAGACTGTAGTCACAGCAGACTTTGGGATCAGCCCAGCTTCGCCAGGTCTCGAAGGCCTTGATGAGGGAACCGCCCTTCTGAGGAATGGCAAAATCAATGATCATGGTGGTGCCTCCTGCCAGGGCAGCCTGGAATCACAAGAGGGTTTCAACAGTTAGCCATCAACTTTTCAGCTGAGTCATTTATCTCCTGGAACGCTATGCGCTCGCAAGCACTTGTGGGTCCACGGAATTGCACAACGCTGCTGCCTGTTTAAAAGACCCAGAGGGACATGAATAGACTTTCCATAAATTGAAGTTTGAAGTGCTAAAATTGCTGGACTTGCTTCCGTAAAAAGAATGCCATGTCTGGTGAGAAGAAAGTGGCTGTGGCCCAAACAAAACAGAGTGAGGATTGCAAGGAAAAACCGAAATGGAAAAATGGAGAAGACTCAAAACTTTTTCTTCTCAAGAAAAAGTATTTTTTTTGTATTCATCTGTATTCACACTGTATTCATCACTGTGAAAATCCCAAAGCATTGGCATCAGTCTCAGTGAACTGTGTCTCCAACTGCCTCGTGCTCCACACAGAATCCTGGAGACTCACATGATGCCTGCTTCGCCTACATTCCCCACAACCAACTGGGGACCCTTCGTCTTTCCTTAACTCCCAACTGTCCCCTCTAATCCATCCCCCTGGTCCTGGTCCAGCCTCTTCTCCTCCTTCAGCTTGATCTTTATATCCCACCCCTTCCACAGACTCCTTGGTGCAACTGGAAGCACATTCCACAGCACAAATGTGACCACTTGACTCCAAGGGTTAAAACCACATGCTTTTAACCACCTCTAGACTGAAGTTGAGTCTTCTCAACATGGTCTACGAGGCCCCACGTGATCTGCCTCAACTCATATTTTTCTTGGCACATTACATTATATGACATTGCCTTATGACTAAATTTAAAAGTAAGTTGCTTAACCAAGCGTCTTTGATGAACTACTGAAATTGATTTTACTTAAACTAAAATCACAGGGTGGTTAATGTGCTTTAAGTGTTGTAGTCAAACAAGGTAGGTGAAGAAAACAAACGTAGCCAGGAAGTATGGTGGTGCAGTAAAGGCACTGACCAAGGAGGCTGACGGACTTCAGGGCATAGAGGTTAGATTCAGCACCTGTCATCTGCGGCACCTGAGAGGCCAAGAGCCCCTCTCCCAGGTCCCTCCAATTGCACCCCCATCAGCCTCCCTGCAAAGCCGCCCAGACTCCATGTGTCCCCTCTGGTTGGCTGGCTCTCATCTTACTTCAATAGATTTTTTTTTCCTAAGTCACTTGGCCCCACTCCAATTCTTTTTGCTCTGAAAAATCTCACTTTTTGTACAGGAGCCTATGCTTTGTCTCCACCTTTAGATAACAGTGCCTTATTCTTGGCAAACAATACACATTTGCATTTCTTAAGAAATCACTATTGGTGTAATGACAATACTAGGAAAAAAATCCTCAAGCGATGTATTTTTATTTGAATGCAGATTAATCTTCTTGCCGTCTTCCTTCCTAACGTGTCTTCCCAGTGCGATGCGGATATCCCTTGAGGATGAAGGGCATCTTTCTAACAGAAATGCTGTTAATTCAAGTGTTAGAAGAAAAGTACTTTTTTTAGTGCCTACAGAACTACAAAATCAAGCTTAAAGAACTATCCTTTCCATTCTTTCCATATTAAAAGTCTTCCACATTCAGGCTGTAGGCAAACTAGGTATGATGCTGGTGGAAATAAAATAAATGGGGTAGCCACCTTGGAAAGCAGTTTGACACTTTTTCAGAAAGTTAAACATAGAGTTTTCATGTGAGCCAGTAATTCTAATCCTAGGCATCTATGCGAAGGAAATAAAAACATGTCCACACAAACCCCTGTACACAAATATCCAGAGCAGCAATATTTATAATAGCCCCAAACCGGAACCAACCCACGTGTCCATAACGGATGGATCGACAGCAGAATGCAGCATGTGAACGCTGTGGAATATTATTCGGCCATAAAGAGGAAGCACTGACACATGCTGCGATGTGGATGAACCTTACAAACGTTACGCTCAGTGAGAGAAGCCAGTCACAGATCATGTAGTATATGATTCCACTTGTACGCAATATCCAGGAGAGGCAAATGCTTAGAGACAGTAAGGAGAACAGTGGTTGCCTTGGGCTGGAGGGGGTGAGTCGAGGTGCCAGCTCACGGGCACGGGGCTTCTTTTTGGGCTGATAAAAATGCTCTAACGTTGGTTGTGGTGATGGTTGCACAATTCCAGGAATATACTTGAAACCACTGACCTTAAATGTACACCTTAAATGGCTGAATTGTATCATATATGAATTATGTCTTAGTGAAATTATTACCAAAAAAAAAAAAAAAAGTTTACTACATGTAAGCTATGGAATGAGAGGGGTGGGAGGGCCAACAAATAATCAGACAGAGGTTCTCCCATTCGGTGTTTATAGACTGCAGCGGGCGATGGAAAAAAGAATAAATAATTATGATAAAATACTCAGTTTGTAATACCAGGTAGCAAGTATATTTCTACAATAAATGGTAGTCTAGAAATTGCTAAGGGGAGGTAAAAATCGCTAAGCTCCTTGGAAGAGGTCCCGGGGAAAGACTACTAGGAATTCAGAAGAGGGAAGGATGAACAGAGGCCAGAGGAGGCATGGATTTAAATTAGCGTTAGGACACACACATGAAGTTGCCAGCCGGCTAATAATATCTAACTGGCAGTGTGTACTTCTAATGTGCCAGGAACTACTGACGTTCTGGATGTTATAACTTTTGTAATCCTCTCACCAGATCTGTAGCAGGGAATATTATCAGCCCCTGTTTAGGGTGGAGGGAACCCAACACAGCACTACCAAATAACTTGACAGAGGCCGGACTGGAGTCAGGTCATCAGGTGCCAGGGCCTGTGCTCTGAGGAACAGCCAACAGCATGGGGGATGCTCTGAGGAAGGGCCCGTGAGGAAGGGCCAGCCCCTCAGCAGAAACTGGTAAGGGGCAGAATTAAGACCTGGACTAGGGTTAGAGCAAAGCGTTGGTTCCGACAAGAGGAAGGCTGCACCGTCAGCAGGGGTGACGGGAGTCCGTGAGCTGATTCTGACAGGGATGGCTGATGGTGGCAGATGAGGGGACACTGGAGGGAGGCAGCTCTGGTGAGTGTGGAGTGTGAGGTGCTTGGGCACATGTGGACTTTGTGTATTTGCACACAGAAGGAAACGCAGACCTGACGCTGAAGGCAGGGGAGAGTTGGGGCAGTCACCTTGGAGAGGATGCCAGAGGGGTCCTGAGGTTGGCCGAAACGACCCCAGGAGAGAGAAGTGACACAGGATAATCTAAATCATAATACATGTTCCGGAACATTCCAACACTTAGCACAAAAGCAACAGTACCATGCCCAGACAGCCATTTACAGTGTCTGTTTCTGGGTGGGCATAATTGCAGGTTGCTTTAATTTCCCTCTAGTTAAATTTTATTTTTAATATTTGCTAACTTTTCTATAACACAGCACAAGCTTTATAAGAAGAAAACAAGACTTCATGGACAGATGATAAAAATACAAGCACATGCTAGGTAATTACATGGAGACTGTAGATGGTCTTCTTGCCATACTGTAGATGTGGTGGTCAAAGGACCATCTACTAAAACAACAGCAGACCAAAATTCCTGGGGTTACAATTTGAAAGCTCCCCAATCAGGATTCTTCACACCTGCCCCACCTCCCTCATTACCCGGGAGCAGGAAAGGGAACCGAGAACCACCCTTTACCTCTTCTTTGTTGCTTCTGGTTCTGTTTCTCCTCCACTCTCTTTCTCCCTGTCCTCCCCCCAAAATGGGAACAAATTTCGAGAAACCCTAGTGAATGGGAAAGGGTGTGGGAAGATGTATGGACAACAAAATCTACCTGTTACCAAACCACCGGGGGGCATGAGCCACTGGCCGCCGGGATCCCGCTGCCACCCTGGGTCCTGGCAAACAGGCGCCAGCCACTGTCTGCACCCCAGCCTCCTCTGAACCTCTTTTTTTTTTTTAAATAATGTTTTATTTATTTTTGAGAGAGAGAGAGCACAAGTGAGGGAGGGGCAGAAAGAGAGAGGGGGCAGAGGATCTAAAATGTGCTGACAGCAGCCAGCCCGATGCGAGGCTCGAACTCATGAACCGTGAAGTCATGACCTGAGCCAAGTCAGACCCTCAACCGACCGAGCCTCTTTTTCCCCCTCATCTCCTGATCTCCCTGGTCTGTCTGGTTACCCATGCTCCCTTCACTGCCCAAAGTTATCTCAAATCCTTGAATATTATTTCAAGACCTGAAATGGCCCTTCCTTGTTCTACTGGATCTGGGGAGTCGCGTGTGTGCCAGAACTGAGGATGTACAATCCCAAGTAGAGGTAAGGAGATGTGCTCCTCCTAGGAGGTATTTGCCTCTTCATTTTTATTTATTTATTTTTTTGGAGAGAGAGAGAAAGAGCAGGGGAGGGGGCAGAGAGAGAAAGGGAGAGAATCTTAAACAGGCTCCACACTAAGCAAGGAATCCGCCACGGGGCTCAATCCCACAACCCTGGGGTCATGACCTGAGCTGCAATCAAGAGTCTAAGGCTCAACCCACTGAGCCACCCAGGCACCCCACTATTTGCCTGTTCAAAGAAGGGCTTGTGAATGCCCAGGCCTGGGTTAAGCATCTTATTATACACATTAGCTCGTTTAATTAAGCCTTTCTACAGTCTGGAACAGGTAGGAGTTGTTTCTCTTACTTCACAGTTGAGGATATGGGGGCTCAGAGATATCGTATGATTCTCCAAGGCCACACGGAAGGGCACAGGACTCTGAGGGGTAAGTCTGACACTCAGCCTGCTCTGGGCCTCGGCCCTACGCCGGCTGGTTCACCTGAGCCACTCTTCCGTAGAGTGCGATCTGATTTCCAGCCAGTTGCTCTGGTCATCAGTGAATCATTACTTGGAGAGAGGCACAGGTTGATGAAACGAATCAAGCACTTAAGAAACCAAAAGTCTTATGAAACAAAACAACTGTCAAACTGTGAATTGGAAATCCACAAATGCAACAGAACTTTATTTAGCTCACTAGATGTTTGTCACTGTGACAATCACTGTGGAAGTAATATGTCCCTAGAAGGTCTACAAGGAAGGGCCCCACACTGCTGCTGCTTCCCCTTCACAGACCTATTGCCCCTGGAATAATCTCCTTGATTCAACAAACCGACCGGTCAGAACATCATATTCCCAGCCCACCTCAGGTAGCCACAGCGTCTATTTAACTGCTTTTATCATCGGAGGCTTTTAGGTTCACGTCACAGATGTTCAGGCTTTACCTAACATTTGAGGAATGGAGAGAATTTAGGAAGGGGAGGGAGAACCCATAGAGGGTGAAAATTTCTCTCATATTTCTGTGTGAACCTCAACTGTCTCCTTCGTTTCTGCTGCTGATAGACTTCACGCCACTTTTATTTGTCAGAGAGCCAAACAAAATGTATTTACCTTATCTAATCTTGGCTCATAAATCAATTCTTTCAGCTCCTAATTACTTTGGCTGTTCTCCCTTGAAAACCTTCCAATTTATCTAAAGCCTTCTTCGGGGTGGGGGGGGGAGGAGGAGAGCATGTGCTGTATCAGGTGCAAATGTGATAGAACATAAATTGAGATAAACTCCAACAGCGGGGTCACAATATTATATAACACAAGATTCTATTTAAGAATGTATTAGGTTGTATATCACTATTGAAGGCATCCCAAGCATCATCTTCCTTTTGATGGTGTCACCGAATTTTCATTTCTAAGCTCATCCTGGAACCAATGAGTTTGTCTTATGAAAATCAATCATAGGACCTGCTTAATCAACCCAAGTAAAGCAGAAGGAGATGGAAGAGGGCAATTTGAGCCTTAGGGAAGGGGGCTGAATTCTCAGCTTTCCTATAGTCACTAAGATGTATGAAAACAAACTTCAGGATCCCAATTTATGTTCCGATTCCAGAAGCCCATTTGGCTTTGTAAAGATGTCCTCTGCACTGCTGCTCCGTGCCCGGCTCCTTGTCTCCCCAAGTCCGAAATATTAGCCACACCATCGTCCATCCAATTGTGCAAACCAGACTGAAGTGTCACCCTTGACATTTTTCTCTCTTCTTCTCAACATTGCCAGAGCCAACCCATTGGCAAGCCCAGCTCTTCCCCAGGCTGCCTCCTACATCGCCCGTGAATCTCTTTACTTCTTGCGTCTATACCTCCACTGCCCAGTGCCACCTATATCCTCTGACTGGACTAGAGCAGTAGCCTCTTCACTGTCACCTTGTCCCTAGCCATGCTCACCACTTCTGATCTTATATTGATTTCCCTTTTGCTCTTACGATGGAGAAAACACAATTATTACACATCCCATAAGGCTGAAACTTTAGCTGACTTCTCTGTTTGCTATTGAGGCACCTCCCTTCCAACCCACTTGACCCATTTCAATGACACTGTTCCTCCCTCTCCTTGGAGAGCTCTGAGCTCCGTTCTACCTCAGAGAGAGATGTCACTCCTGCTCTTTCCTCCCCAGCCCCTCCTCTACTTGGTCCAGTGATTCTTAACCCTGGGTACACACCAGCATCATCTAGGGAAATTTATCCCATCCCTCAGAGATCCTGACTGGATGGATGTAGTTTCATCTCTGTATGTTCTGTGCCTGTTACAGTGCCTGGTACACAAATATTCTTTAAATGTTTAAGGGAATGTTAAAAAGAAAAGCACAGGCCCAAGAGGGAGTCACTTATGCTAGCTAGGCCAAGTCACCAAACCAGAGTTTCATACCTAACCTTACCGCAGTCTCAGCTCTGCCTCAGAAATGTAGTCAGGAATTTCCTGGTTGGCACCAATGAGGTAATCTGTCATCTGGACCCTCTCCATCCCCCAAAGTAAGATGAGGTAATCTTCAGGATAAGACCCCCTGCCCTTCCCCCTAAGAGAGAGTGACCTTTCAGGAATCAATCCTTTCTTTTCTTTTGCTAAATAATTTCCCTCTCCACTCTCCTTCCTATAAAAACCTTCTATTTTGTAAACTACTTGGAGCTTCTTTCTACCTGACAGATGGGATGCTGCCTGATTCATGAATCACTTAATAAAGCCAATTAGATCTTCAAATTTACTCAGCTGAATTTCTGTTCTTTAACAGGAGAAAGGAAGGGAGGGATCAATGAATTTCCTCCAGTAGCTATGAGATGGAGTAATTATGATGATTCACTTTTCCAATAGCAAAATGAGAAAGCAGTGTAATTTGCATGTTAATGTGACATTTCATTTCTTAAAAATATTGCTAGCCCTGGCCATGGAGCTTTCTGGATCCTTCTATGAATATGTTAATGTGGAATGTAGACTGAGCGCACATGAAAGCTGAATGCTCAGTTTTCTCCAAAGCTCATCACCTAATCAGTGTTAATTAACAGATTAGAATCTATATTGGCCTCAAATGACTTCTTCTTTCTTTCTTTCTTTCTTTCTTTCTTTCTTTCTTTCTTTCTTTCTTTCTTTCTTTTTTCTTTCTCCCTCTCTCTCTTTCATTCTTTCGAGAGAGAGTACACAAGGGCAGGGGAGGGACAGAGAGAGGGAGAGAGAGAGAGAATCCCAAGTAGGCTCTGCACCATCAGTGCAGAACCTGATGTAGGGCTTGATTTCACGACTGTACCATGAGGTCATGACCTAAGCTGAGATCAAGAGCTGGATGCTTAACCAAATGTGCCACCCAGGCACCCCAAGTGATTTCTTGTTTTATAAAAAAGATTACACTTTGTTGTACTTTAACTTTTAAGGTCTTTGTTTTTATGTGTGAACAGATCCTCAGGATTCAGGAATTCATGAGTATCACCATATCAATTTCTCTAGTACTTGCAATGAAACATAACTGAAGAACTGAAGTGTCCTCCCTCAATTTGTTACTTGACCTATGACAGGAGAAGCACAAAGTGGAAGCGAGCAGTAGACTCTGGGCAGCTGCTCTCTTATCTGCTAAATAACTTGCTCAGAAACATAGTTTGTGATGCAGCAAGCCATTAGGACTGGTGACCTGGCGAAAGGGAAAATGCCAGACCTTAAGCATTCACTCAAAAATAGTCACAATCATCAAAGTTAAGCCCACAAGCTCAAAGTCTACTGTATATAATTTATTATGAAGGCCAACATACATTAGAGCCCCATATGCCTCTAGTCTGTCTGCCATTGGGAACAGAGAGCATGGTTTTCATCTCTACCCCAACCACAGTGCCAGTCACTTTGTGGGTTTCCAAGAAATATTGTTGGCTGAAATAATAAAATCTAATCATCAACTTGAAAAATCCTTAGTTTAGGATCATTCCATTTTAAATTGTGGTGCCAGGGCCCAGAGTATGCCCCTGTGGCATAAAAATCATTTTGAGCTGAAGGTATTTAAGAATAGGTGTGTGAAAGCGTGTGTCTGCGTGTGTGCGAATACCCTTATCTGCCTAAAAGCAAAGCCTCCCAAAATTCAACTGTAATAAATCCCCTTCTAGGAAGTTTCACCACCAGGGAAGATTGACTCTTAACACCCGAGACTAGAAACTTGCACCACACCTCAACAGACCTTGTCACAAACCATCATATTTCCCACCGATTTTCTTAAGAGCCCATCTGTTTTTCCTAAAAGTCATTTGTTTCCCCATCAGTGTCCTCTCTACTCCTCCTCTTCTCTTATTAAGAAGTCATTTATGTTCCCATACATGCCCTCTCCTTTCCTCTCCCCTGTTAAGGTGGTATATAAACCCCAAATTCTAACCACCTCTTGGGTCACATTTTTCTGTGAACTTGCATATACCTGAATTTTAAAGATCTGTCTTTTCTCTTGTTAATGTGTCTTTTGTCAGTTAATTTGCATGTCCCAGTTACTAAACATAAGAGGATATAGGAAAACTTTTTCCTTCCTGACAGTAGCATCATGGAAACCTTGATTTACACACTACTTCTGTTGGACATTAAAAACCCTCAGGCAAATGAGGAGGAAACATGCAGTGGAACTGAAAAGCAGGGAGAACTCAAGTATGAAAACTGTAAGAAGGCAAGTCCTAGATTCTGTCAAGTTCAGCGAAAGAATTCCTAACACACAACACCCTTAATGGGGCCCTATTTAACATCAAGCGGTTTCTAATTAATCTTTGAGATTTTTTTTCTTCCTCTGATTAGTGCAAAGATTAACTTTGTAATCAGTAAAGAGCTACTCGAGAAAATCACAGAATTATAAACTCTTAGAGCTGGAGCATGCAAGCTATTAGCACAGGAAGAGCATTCAAAGCTCAGCTTCACCAGCAATGAAAAAAAAGCTCGTTTAAAAACATTAAGAAATTCTGTTTTTCCTATTAAATTGGCATTGATTTTTTTGTTTAAGGCAGTAGTTACAATTAACCAGGATTCAGTGAAATGAGAATTGTAACGCGTTGCTCATGGGAGCACGAACTGATCTGGGTATATGTATTAAACTCCTTTAAGATCAATCTAAGACTCTTTGGTCCAGTCATTTCACTCTGAAGGGTGATTTCTAAGTCAATTATCAAGAATCCGTATGATAATTTATGTCCCAACATTGTTATACAAGCAAAAAAACAAAAAAACAAAAAAACAAAAAACAAAACAAAACAAAAAAACCCAAGAACCCAGAAACCGCCAAAATGTCAACCAACTGAGAAGACAGGAAGGGAGCTTTTAACAGTTGATGAAACAGGATGAAAAACGAGTAGCGTAGTTGAAGGAAGGATGAGTTGGCTCGGAACATGCTGAGTGCAAAGTGCTTGTGGGACATCGAGGTTGTGATATCCTCAGACAGGCGGAAATAGAAACCTGATGCACAGAGACAAGAACGCAGAGAGAAAACTGTGAGGCTTAGCCTTGGCGAGGACAAGGCCCCGGAAATCACATTCTCCAACGGCAGTTAAGGCTCTGGGGGAAATGTGTAATGAATGAGGCTGTCTCCAGAGAGCACGCAAAATTTAGTAGAAGGAAAAATGTGCGCCCCAAAGAGAAAACCGTGAAAATACGGGAAGCAAGATGTTAAACATTATAGGTAATTTAAATATTATTTTTCTTTACGTTCAACTGTATTTTCCTTTTTTTTAAAAAAAGGCAGTTATTCAAGCAATATATATTGAGCAACTATAATGCTCCAGCATTTTCCTGAGGGCTGGATAATGAATAATATATATTGTTTTCATTACTTTCACTTTTTTTTTTTTAAATTGAGGTTGTTCTTCCAACCAAGGCATCATTATGTAGATAAGGAAATGTTAACAACTCTGAGAGAAGAAGTAACTTGCCCAAGGTCACACCGTCAGCCCACACAGCTTCCAAAGCCCAGCCTGGAGCTCCCACAAGCAACAGAGAAAGGGCTCTGACTTGCGACCAAGTTTTCTGAAGTGCAGTTCTACAACGTGAAGAAATTCTATAAATACACCACACAAGCACGCTTAATCATACACCTTCCACTGCCTTATTATAAGCAATCATCTTGATGGCAATTTACCAAAAAGTCCCAGAGCAAAGTGTAATTTCCTTTCTTGACAGTTTTGAAGATTTTTGTCCTACAAAAGAAAAAGAAAAAAGTGTTCTGTGTGTTTTCCCAATTAAAAAAAAAAAAAAAAAAGATCGTTCTACCAGCTACTGATGCTGCCAGATTTTTAATGTGAGCCCACCCACTCCAAGCTGCATATGTCTGAATATCTATATCTATCTATCTATCTACCTGGAAACTGGCCAGGCTTTCATAATTTACTCTCTGATCACAGGATATAGTAAAAGCAAAGTCGTAATTCCTTCAACTTTACCTAACTCACAATATCCATTTGCATTTAAAAAATCCCATTGTTTTTCCTCATGGATATTGAATATTGGAAAACCACTGTACATCTAGTATATTTCAACAAAATGAAATATGATTTCTTTAAAGCAGAAAATTATTTCCATTAGTTACATCAGATAGAAAGCTTTTACCTATAATTAAGTAAATCTATTCTAGGCTTGAAACCCAACCTATGCCATAAATTAGACTTACAAAATATGTAACCTTTGGTTGACCTATATTTCATTTTTTAAATTGGGCCCCATCACAATCTGGTGACCAATAAATAGAATACCATGAACAGTATCCCTTCTATGTGTTAGATATTATAAATGATCTGCCTGGTGCATGCAGAAAGTAAAAAGCTATTGGTCTTAACATTTGGGGCCCATCTCCTGAAAGCATAATATATCATTTCTACTTTATAGCTTTCTGTATGCAAGGTACCCATTTCTTACCCTTAGAAATGATGCGGCCATAAATTCAAGTACAAATGCCTCACAAACCGAACTCCTGAAATGTGTATTTATTTTGATAACCTTAACTGCCTCCAGCTTTGGGAGAGTGAAGAGCTACTGTATTTCTTAAGGATGACCCTGCTTTGTTTTTGAGAAAAGCCATCTCACATCGGCACGTGACGTACCCAGCATTTTCATCCCAACACCTGCCACACGGACAAACCTAAACATCACACGTTTTCCCAATAGTTTCAGAAAGGAAGTGAGCCTGGTAGGTAAGAGCTCTAGCAATGGCAGGCAGTAAGGAATCTGAAGAGCCACTTGGTCACTGACTGGTGTATGGCCTTAGGCAAGTGACTTAAATTTCAGTTTCCTCAGCTGCAAAATGAAAGAACGGCCCCTGAGATTGTTGGAAGATGGTGGACAACTTAGCACAGTGCCAGCACATAGTAGGTGCTTGATAAAATAAACGTTATTTAATGGTATTAATAAGATTTTTTCAAGATTAATATACAGCCCAATCAACATCTACAAAAGATTTCTTTGCCCCTATTTCCCCAAACCAGAAACTCCACCAACACTGCCTTGGGAATTATGAAAGACTCCATAAAAGA